ATATATATATATATATATATATATATATATATATATATATATATATATATATATATATATATATATTTAAGTTAAGGGCTAGAGAGATTGCAAAATGGTTCAGCACACTGGCTCTTCTTCCTGAGAACCTGGGTTCCATTCCCAGGGCCCACAGATTGCCCCAACCTTCTGTGACTCTAGCCCCCGGGATCTGGTGCCCTCCTCTGGCCTCTGTGGGCACTGCATGATGCACAGGTGTACATGGTGCAGATATACATGCCTGCCAACACCGCAAACATGAAAACATGCAGTAAAACAAAAAAAGTCGTGATCCTAACGTTCTTCCCAGTGTTCCCTACTCAAGGACAGGTGAGGACAAGGATGACCCCATGGAGAGCTGATTGCATCCGCGTCTCAGGACTGCCGTCCTGATGCGGTGGAAATAAATGACTTAGGAAGACAAACAGCAGCTGCAGAATGTAAAGTAGATGGAGCTCGTGGCTGCCAACTGCCCTATTGTGTTTGGCTTGCCTTGAATCAGAAAATAAATTAAGTCAATGATTAAACCTACGGTGAAAACCATATTTATAATTTCTCTTTAAAAATAGAAGGGGCTGGGTATGGCGGCACACACCTTTAATCCCAGCACTCAGGAGGCAGAGGCAGGCAGACTTCACAGTTCAAGGCCACCCTGGTATACCAAGTGAGTTCCAGGACAGCCAGAAGTACACACAGAAACCCTGTCTGGAAAAACAAAAACAGAAGGGAAGGAGCTAGGAGTGGACAGCTTAGTTGATGAAGTTCCTCCTGTGCGCACGTAAGTTTGAACTTCAGCACCCGTGTGAAAACCTGGGCGTGGTAATGGAGCCCCAGGTCCCCTGAAGGCTCTGTCCTATATCAGCACGTGAAGTGGTACCTGAGGGACAGCATACAGGACCCCTGCCTGCCATCTGCCCTGCACATGCCCGGTACCCACAGACTGTGCCCAGCCCCACCATGGACTGCACGTGGCTGCCCCATGTTGTGGCTGCTTCACCTCCACTGGTTGCCAGTAAGGCGCTGGAGCCTGCCCGGCTCAGAGCCTGCTTGTTCAACGGACTCCTGAGCTCTGACGGGCTGCCTCAGTCTCCAAAGGGCACACTTACCATATTCTCCTAGATGGCCATTCTCACACCAGTGAGTGGGGACAGGCACAGTTGTGCAACCTGTGCCCTCACCCTGCACGCCAAGAGTGTCGAGTCAGCGGGCCTGCAGAAGCTCGGTACACTTAGCACAAGTGGATGCATCAGCCACCATCAGAGAAAACACACAGGCCACCAGAAGGCTCCAGGCCAGGTGTCCTGTTCTGTGGGCCTCCAAGTCCCGCTGCACCGTGATGTACACCGGGCTAGGAGTCTCTGTAGGACAGGGCCCAGACTACCACAGAACAAAACCACGTCATTCCTGAAGTCAAGCCAGTCTTCTTCACACACCACACACACACACACACACACACACACACACACAAGCAGTCAAGCTCCAAAAGCCAGGATTGCAAGAGGAGGCTAAGTGTTAGCATTTGCACTACGGTGTCTTTTGTGTGTTCATAGAGAGCATCATAAATCCCCATCATCTCTGATCATACCCCAGGATACGGAGTCTCCGGAAATGACAATTTCTAGACTGCTCATTAAGACTTTTGTCTCGACCGTCCACTGAATCTGCTTTGGTGGTGGTATTTTATTCCTCACCGGGTGGGGAGAATAGGAAGAAAACAAAAAGACCGGCTTTTAAATGGCACCAGCCGTAGTCTAGGTTGATTGGGATGTGTAGGGATTAGTCACGATTGCTAATGAATATGTAAATCTCCCTTGGCTTTCTTGGCAAAAGAGCCCATCAGAGTTTTCAAAGCCCAGATTTGAATGATTGGCCCGTCACAGCCTGGCCTGAGAAACAAGGCAGCACTGCAATAGTTCCTCTTCTGAAGCCAGGTCTCACCTCCACACTGCCAATGGGTATTCCCAAGGGGCACTGGTGGCCTTCCCTTCCTTGGAGATCATCATCAATCATGAAACCATTGCAGCCTGCCTTCGGCTTAAGCCAGGAAACCGGTTTTACTGGTCTAGGGCAAGCTGGTGTGATTCTTTCCAAGAGAGGTGGAAAGAAAAATTGGTTGAGCCATTTAGAAATCAAGGCCTGAGTGACTTCTGAGGCTGATCCCAGAATGCCACCAGGCTTACCAAAACTGAAATTGAGGGCATTGGTTCAGCCAGCTTGCTGGGGAATGACTTTTTCCTCATCGTAGATGGTGGAAGGTTGATTTTCCTCACTTTCCTGGATTTCATTAGACCCATAATGTACAGTTAATGCATGGAAACAGTTGACTTGATCCTGGTGAGGTTGGAGAACTTTCATAGCGAGGCTGCCTCTGATCAGCCCTCCATTGAGGCAAGTTGGGACCAAAAACCCATAGCCAGGAAAGGGACAGTGATGTTGGGAAGTGCTCACTCTTCTATGACTTTGTGTTGGCAACTAGTAGCATGCCCAGGCAGTCACTGGAGCATGGAAGGAAGGAGCTGTAGGCTGGCAGCCAGTGCTGTTGTCCTAGACGAAGAGATAGCTCTATCTGTGTTTTTAAAACCTGGTGGGGAGAGCAGCCTGTGTGCCTCAGAGGCGTGGAGGGAACTTTCGAGACTGTGTGAAAAGTTGTGTGATTTGAAACAGCACATTTACAGACCTGTTAGCTTTCATGTTCTCAGACTGATCCACCCCAAACCCTCGCCACTCCTCCTTAAAGTGTCGGTTTCCTCACTTGGTGGGGGGGAAGTGCTGCCTCCTCTGCCAGTCTTACAGCTGCTCTTCCTACTAAAGGAAGTTGGTGCTGCCAAAAGGAAAGCACCTTAGTTGGAGCAGCCTCAACTTGATTGTCCTGTGTTTCTCATTTTACCATGTCAATCACATTTTGTTCATGGCTATGAGGGTATGCACACATTTACACATGCACATACTAAACACACAAGCACATCCATACAGTCACAGACACAGACATACATATAATAGTATTAGAATCACACATAGTGCAACGATATACACACGTGTTCACATACACAGCAACACAGACACATTATATATGCCATATACCCAAACACATCACATAGATATGTCATACACAAACATAGGGACACATAGCACACACACACACACCACGCAGATACATACATACATGCGCAGACACACGAGATACCCACACAGGTGTAAGTACGTTTTATTACTTGCGGCTCTGCAGAGAGAACTTGCTAGGCATCACTGTACCAGAGACATAGCAACAGCCCCCGTGTAGCTTTTGGTTTTGTTTTAATTTGAGACTGGATCTCACTGAACTGCCTGGGCATGGCAGTTTCCATCTTCTAGGCTCAGCCTCCCACGCAAATGTCGGAACCATTGGTGTATGCTACGCCTGGCTCGTGAGCCTGAGTGCTGTTACTGTCTGTCTGTTGGGGGACAGGGGTTTACTGTCATGCCAGTTGATAACAGATGATATTGATGGAAGATAATTATCTCTGCTTCGTATGTAAAAGTCAAAGAAGAATGGTGTGCCCCAGGCCACAGAGCTGGAGGAGCTGGTCTGGACCCTAATTGTTCTGATGGCCAAAGCCACATCCTTGCAAACCTTCACCTAACCAGATTATAGAAAGGAAGTGAGACTTTGAAAGATCACTGCGAAAGAGGTCTCTTTCTACGCACAGTTCACCCTCTCAGATCTTTGCTAGAATAGCCACAGTGAGAACAAACGAACATTTCAAATGCCCAGATTTTATTGCAAAAATTCACTTCCTGTTTCTGTAGCTGCCACAGCCAGCTGCCCCCTTTTTCCTAGCAGCTGTGATTGATGGTTACTGCTCTTGAGGATGTTAACTGCTGTCCCTTCTCTTTCAGCAATCGACCCACTCCTAGCGACCATGACCGGATACAGCGTCTACGACAAGAGTTCCAGCAGGCCAAACAGGATGAGGATGTGGAAGACCGGCGCCGCACCTACAGCTTTGAGCAGTCTTGGGTGAGTGTCTGGTTTCTCAGCCCAGCAAAGAGGCTAACAGCTGCCCTGCCAGAGAGGCCCCTGAGCTGTGACCTCAGTCCTTTATGAAACAAGACAAGATGGAGCCAAATCCCTCTGACCTTTAGCATTCTGACCTTTCCCTCCTTTCCATCTGGGTTTCATCATTGCTAATTTCATTTTCTATCTTGTTCCACCATCTGTCCACTGCGTAATAGGTTCAAATAGCCCTATGACGAGATACCCCCAAAGAATGTCTGCTCTCAACTGCATCTTTTATTAAGTTTACACAGTGCTTTCCTATAGAGCAGAGCCAGAGGAAGCTCAGCTCATGATCCTTTGCGTCTATGAGACAGAGACTGGTAATTCCTGGTTCTCTAACCTCCTTAGTATTTTTTGTTCTGTTTTAAAATTGAGGTGGGGCCTCTGACAGCCTAGGCTGGCCTTGAACTCACTCTGTAATCAGGGATAACTTTGAACTCCTGACCCTCCTGCCTCTGCCTCCCCACTGTGGTGCTCCACGAGTGCACCATCATGCCGGTTCTCTGTGGGGCAGAACATCAAACCCAGCACTTTATCCCCCAGGCAAGCACTCCACCAACCTAGCCGGTGCCCAGCCCTGCCAAGGATGTGTCAGATCCCTGGGAGTCTGTGTTCACCTCTCTTCTCATCCATCTTCTACGTGGCCACTTCTGTGATCTCTTTAAAACAGAACTGGCAACCACTCCTGTGTCCTGCATCTGAGTGTGTGAAGCCTGCTGGCACTTCTAGGTAGAGGGATGGCAGCAGAGTTGGTGTTGGTGATAGAGAAGGTTTTGAAGGCTCTCTGGAAAGAGTGAGAGTGAGTCAGAGCTGCTAATGGCTCTCTGGGTATAGGAATTTCCAGGGCTGGTGGTAACTCAGCCCCTGCCAAATGACTAGAGGACTGAGAAAGAAGGAAACATATTTGCGGAGAAACTCTGTTATTGAGATGAGAAGGACCAACAATCAGGATGTCTGACAGTCCTGATGAGGGTGCAGGGGTCAGGGCTGGTTAGTGTGAGTAGGGGGAGACTCAGCAGCTAGCAGATGGTTCACCGCAGCCGCTCAGAGTTTGCAGGAATGGCGGATGCCTTGGAAAAACAGTGGAACAGCCGTGCTGTCCTTCCACTGGAGGCACAGAAGCTGAGGACACTAGTGTCCAGAGGTTGATGAGTCCCTTCCAAACAGCTCTGGGAATAAAACACATTGTAGCAGATTTCTGAATAGGGAGAGGAAGAATGGTATGGGAACAGACCTGACTTAGACACATGTCCTCCTTCATGAGAGGAAGGATGACTCTCCCAGCCGGTGAACCTGGGTGTGGCTGGGCTGAGGGAAGGGTGAGAGTGCAGCCTCGTTCTGGACTGTCAGGTGGGCTTCCTGGCCCTTCTTGGTCTGAATGCCCAGTGTGCTATGAAAAGCGAAAGACCTTCAAAGGCTTCTGGTCAGGGAGCTCAGTGATCATTTGAAAGATTGACTTAGAAGGAAAGGTGTGAAAGCTGCCTTAGGGTGATAGGCCCCCTCTTGGGCCAAGTGATGAAGGTCAGATAAGGCCCTGCTAAGCCGTCTTCGCATGTCAATTTGCACCGTTAGACCAGCACTCAGTGTGAAAATGCACCATGAAGTCCATCCTTGCCCAGCCTTGGGTGTTCTAAACCAATCCAACATCTAAACAAATACCAGGCTGTCTTCAGCAGCTGTTCTGCTGTTAGCGGTGCTTTCATTACAAGGGATTTGATTTATTTTCCATTAAATTGAGTCATCTCTCTAGCAACAGGATGGGATTGTGATAATGTACTGGTTTTGTTTGCTGTAATTGGCTCCCTCTATCCTTGAGAGGTTTCCTAAAGCAGGGCTCCTATGTGATGTGTAATAAATAGTTAACTATATTTGAAGAGGGCACTGAGTACCGCAGGCAAGCGGAGGGGAAAACAGCCACCAAGATGGAAGCAGCTGTCACATACCCTGCTCCGACCTGTGAGCCCCTGCACACCGACACTGACAGTCCCCACACTCTGCCACGAGAGCATTGTTAGCTAGCCAGGAATGTGGCTTTCTGTCCAGCCCTTCCCAGCATTCATTTTCCGTTAATGACTTGACTTCTTCAACTTCCTGAATGCTCAGGACGTCCCACTATCATACAGTACAGAAGAACAAAGCTGGGAAAGGAAGTGTCTATTCCTAAAACTGCAGTGAAGCTGGTGCAATCCTCTTGCTTCAGCCTCCCAAGTGCTGGAACTATAGGAGTGTGGCCACAACGGTTGGCTTCTGGCTGCTGACCTTGTACCCATCTGAAGGAGTTTCAAGTTTGAGGTCAAGTCAGTGTTTCTCACTGTATGATATTTTCTTTGAGAGAATCTGGAAGGATTCCCTCGAGATCTGGATAAGGAAGTGATTTAGGTATTTCCACATTATATCTTTAATAGGAACAATCACACTAGAGAAAAGATTGAGAAAAATCTTGTAGTTTGGAAACCCAACTGCCAAAGGTGTCATAGGTCAAAATAGAGTTCACCAGGTGCCATTGCAACTTTAGACAGACAGCATGGCCTATGTATGGCCCGTGCTGACAGAGCTGGCAGTTACTAGATGACAAGCTAGTCACCTTAAGTACAACTTCCTAAATTGTGGATCAGAATTTGACCTTTTCCTTTCTTTTTATTTTTTTACTTGCAAATAATCGAGAGCTTGCTGAGAGTTCTCCCTCTTGCTGATGGCATAAGTGAGCTTTCTGCAGCTGTCATTCCGCTCTGCACAGCCATCTTAACCTAGGCTTTCCTCGCCCCCTCCGTGAGAGCTGCTCGTGGAACCTGGCAGAGCATGGGCTTCCCTGCTGTTTATTGTCCCTCTGTAGCTGGGAATCTTCTTTCTTCCCTTTGCTGACCTTGTAGCCTCCCTGTGCTCAGGAGTGAGAACAACATGGTCTCACGTGCTGGGACAGTCCACACTCGTTTTATTTTTAAAGAACATCAAGTTCACCTTCAAGGTGTATGAAAGACATAGCACATAAGCTGAAATCCTCATTCCCAGTGCAGTAGATGTATCACCTGGTTTCCTGGTCAACAACTCTACAGATACAGCCCATAGTTTCCTCGCCAACAACTTCATCTACAGAGCTTCCTGCGGCAAAAATTACTGCAAGTAGCCCTAAAAACTCATGTATTCTGGAAATGCTCACTGGAAACCCTCACAGTGTGGGATGCACCTGTTCGTGGGCCTTTGTTCCAGCCAGTGTCTGAGTTAGAAAGAGCTGGTTTGTGGTACAAAAGGCCTTTGGAGAAGCACAGGCCCAGAAAATTTCTGAGCTCTGTAATTGGCACACAGTCTCTCCCAGGTTGAGGAAGGCAAAAGCAGGTTCTTCCCCACCCTGTGCAGGTGCAGCCTAAACAAAGCAGCACACCGCCTTAATCTTCCCTCAGGTGATTTAGGGCACGTTACTGAGCGGTAGCTGGCTTCTCCCTGTTGTGGGCGCTCGGATCTAGATGGAAGCTACAGAAAAGAATTAAATTGCTTGCTGTACACACGAAAGTATAGCATGCCGATAGGCCCGCTCAGACACCTACTGTTGCCCACAAGGAGGTGTGCTGGCTGAAACGACTGAGAAGTGGGATAATGGAGACTTTAATAGTGTCACCAATTCCTTCCCATCCCCTGTCAGTAGTGACTGAAATTATGTTAGTCCTTCAAGGAGAAAATTGACCGGTGAGTGTGAATGTCCTTATCCTTCCTGAGCTTGCTTTGTTCCTTTCAGGCTTTAAATGAACAGCAGAATCTGCCCTCTCCTCCATCTTCCGGTGCGGACTGACATGGTTCTCTCTGCCCTAGCAGCGCTTTGTCTGCTCTCCTTGGGAGCCCAGTGCCAGGCAGAGCTGATCTGCATCCCCGGTTGCTCCCCCAGGACAGGAGATTTGAGAAAACCCTTTTGTTTTTGTTGTCCTTGTTTTAATGACATGCAAGGCCTCTGCTGCTTCCTAGTTCTCCTTGTCCTTGACTCAGGAGACATCGCTTTAATTTAAGCCTCCCAGTGTGACTGCAGCTCACACTGCGTGGAGATTCCTTTCCTTGGAAACATCCCCAGAGAAAGCTGTTTTAGCAGCAGAGGGGTGCCAGTTCCTTAAGGAGAAAGCCCCTTGCCACAGCAAAATAACCCCTTGCTTTGGGCCCTATGACCACCCTGTAGACAAACTTTCTTATACCATGGCCCTGCAGAGGAGGGGCTGGGGCTGGGGCTGGGGCTGGGGCTGGGGCTGGTGCTGGTGCTGGTGCTGGTTGCCTGTTCTGTAGAGCTGCGCCTAGTTCTCAAGGTACCAGGTGCTTCGGGTAGGAAAATCTCATAGACACAAGAGCCAATGGGAGAGACTGCGGGAACCAACAGCGTGCGAATGCCAAAGCATGCCTTTATAAAGGAGAAATGTGTGTTTGGAGGACCGGTCCGCCTTTACCTAGGATTCGGAACTCTCAGTGCTTGACAGCACCCTGACAGCCCCAGTCCTGTCTGATCTGGGAGGTCAAGTGGGGCCAAGAATAATTTTAATTAGCCAAGAGAAATGCTTCCTTGATGTCAGTTCAGTGGCACTCTGTGGAGACATTTCATATATTTTCTTTCCCAGAACGAAACTAGCATTGCCCAGCTTTCTCGGACCTGACGTAAGATCTTTCTAATCATGACAAAGACCACTATTCTGCAGCTCACTTACAAAAGCAACAGGTGTATTTTTCTCCTGTGGTTTTAAGGAGGAGATTCCGTTGTGCTCTGTGACAATCGAATATTAACCTGTCTTACAGTGTCTTTCGTTAGTTAGACCTGCCACTTGAGGCCCTTTTTTTCTTTTTTTAATTTAAAAGGTAATCTTTTATAGCCAACTTCATTACAAACAAGACCTAGGTGATTTTGTAATCTGCAGCTAGAGCAGCGTCGCTACCTTGTCTGAATTCCCAGACAAGTGTTCCCAGCAGCACTTAAGCTGGCGTGTGGATTTTCTGTACAGCTGTTATCGTGTGTGTGTGTGTGTGTGTGTGTGTGTGTGTGTGTGTGTGCGTGTGCGTGCGCGCAGGTGCAGCGTGTGTGTGTGGCTGTGGGTGTGTGCACAGGTGGGCAGGGGGTGTGGGGCGTGCCAGAGGTCACTGTAGAATGTGTCTTCCTTGTTACTCTCCACCACATGTTTTGGGAAAGGATCTTTCACTGAACCTGGAGCTGCAAATGGGCTGGTCTGGCTGGTCCACGGGCCCTGGAGATCTGAACTGAGGCCTTCTCCATACATGTGCCTTAAGCTCCTCTCCCTTCCCCCCACCCACTTCGTTGTTTCCAATAGCCGTGTTTGAAAGCATGGGTCCTGGGGGGTTACTTGTTCTCTCTTCCTTGTGTCTTTACTTCTGTAATTTTTGATTCAGATACATGGCTGTGCTTCTGTCATGGGAACTGGAGGGCAGCCTTTAAAGGTAGGCCTGCCTATCATTACCCGTTCTCACAACGCTCGTACTTATGAGATCTGTGCTGACTTTGAGAAGTTACTCTGTGTATGTGTGTGATCATGTATGTGCGAGTGCGTGTGTGTGTGCATGTGGAAGCCAAAACTGCCTCAGTTATCATTTCTCGGGTACCACCCATCTTCTTTTGGTTAAGAAGTCTCTTGCTGAACCTGGAACTCAGTGCTTTGGCTGGCTGGCCAGTGAGACTCGGGGCCCTCTTGTCTCTGGCTCCCCAGTGCCAGGATTATAATCAAGTAAAAACGTGGCTTTTTTTTTTTTTTTTTTTTTAATTTTGGCATGGGTTTGGAAGTCATGGACTGAGTTGTGTTTTCAATCCTGACGTTAATTTTTATTTGGGACAAGCATAAAGCTTGCCAGAGTGATTTTATTGACTTGTTGCTATCAACTAGTCACATACACAACCTCTAAGACACGTGGCCCATTAGGGTTGTCTCTTCAGGATTGAGGTGACGTTCGTGGCTGGCATGCCCTTTGCAGGCTTGGGGAGGGGCCGTGCGCTATGCAGGATGAGGCTGACACTTCCTTTTGACTGCATGAGGTGTCAGCCTGTCACACCCAGTCATGCGCTTGTGCGTGCTGCAGCCCCGTGTTGCTCATTCTGAAGCCCGTCAGAGTTTCAGCAGATGCTTACGACTGACAGGCTTTGAACAGTGTCAGAAAGTGCACAGTTGAAGAAACAAAAGCCCTTCAACTTTTTTTCCCTCTGTCAGAATCAAATTTTCAGGCCGTGGAGAGAAACAACTAAAAAATATACCTGCATTCCCATAAGATCTTACATTTTCTTTTCACATATCCTCAAGCAGTGTGTCAAAAAGCAGCATGAGTTCAAATCGCTGGTTACTAAACCCTTCTCAGAGTGCCAGAACCTCCCAGACAACCTGATGAAGCTCACTGTATACAGAGCTCACAATGGTGAAGAGGAAGGAAACAGGGCACTTGGGGGTTCGGTGCAAACCATGCAGTTTTCACTTTTTATTTTCCTTGTTTGGTGACATTCTTAAGGCTCCTACAGGCACTGACCCAGGAGGTCAGTGGCACCCTGCCTTTGAAGGGGGAGAAGATGCCTGCCTTCATTAATGTGGAGGGTGCTGTGTACACAAAGGCAGGGACTCACCGAGGAAAATACTCTACGTATCATCTGTCTGTCTGTCTGTCTGTCTATCTATCATCTATCTATCATCTATCATCTTCCTATATCCATCCATTTATCTATCATCCATCTTTCTCTCTACCTTCCACCTACCTATCAATCTACCATCTATCTGTGTGTGTGTGTGTGTGTGTGTGTGTGTGTGTGTGTGTGTGTAGGCATGTGGAGGTTAACCTCAGGTGTCACTCCTTAGGAGCTATCTTTCTTTCTCTCTCTCTCTCTTTTTTCCTCCTTCCTTCCTTCGTTCTTTCTTTCCTTCTTTCTTCCGTTCTTTAGGGGGCAGGACTCATGTTGCCTTAACACTCTCCTGTGAGTGCTAAGGCTATTTATTACTCTGCAAAGCCCTGATTGAGTCACAGCATGCCACTGGCCTTCAGTGCTAGAAGAAAAAATCAGGTAGAGTTTGTTAGCTGATATTCGTCACATAGACTATGTAGACTGTGCAGTGTCACACAGGACAAAGGGCACCAAGATGGATGAGTAACAAGATGGGTATCTTGGGATGCCAGCGGTGGTGTAGCTAAGCCATCCCTGGGTATTCTGTGATGTTTCTGGCTGTTTTGATCTACACAGCGTAGTGTATAAACAGGATAATCCACTGTGAATGACCTTCTGGCCAGGTGGCCAGGTGGAGTGAAGACATGTCTGAGGCTAGAGTTGCCGTGGGCAATTGCCGCTTCCTGTTACCCAAGGGAGATGTGTCACTTCAACTGGCACAATCGGTCTTCATTAGCTGACAGGCCCATGCTGTTGGTAGAGGCCTCTGGAACCCTCTGGCTGACCTCCTTGGGGACAGGCCTGTCTTTGGTCACAGTACCTCATTTAAGCTGATTTCTTTCTATTTCAAAGTTGAACTGTCACTTCATAATAAAAGTGTACTGTCTGTATTGCTTACCATTTCTAGGGCAAAAGAGACCACTACTCAGTGTTCCCCAGCTCAGGAAGCCTCAAATCACAGGCCTGTGAGCTCCTGCCTTTGTCAGCTATGGTTGCAATTTTTGTTTGTTTGTTTTTGTTTTGGTGGTTAGTTGAACCCACTGGTGGGTTTGAGACAGGGTCTTGTGTAGCCCAGACTGGATTCAAACTCACTACGGGCTTCACCTTCTGTTACTCTTACCTCTGCCTCCCAAGGGCTGGGATCACACGTGTGTTCTACCATGTCCACTTTATGTGGTGAGGAGATGAAATCAGGACTTCCTACATGCCGGCTGAGCATTGTGCCAACTGAGCTACATTACCAGCCCTTGGATTTTTGGTTTTGTTTGTTTGTTTCTCCGTGTCTATCCCAGAACTCACTCTGTAGACCAGGCCGGCCTTGAACACACAAGGATCTGCCTGCCTCTGTCTTGTGATGCTGGGATTAAAAGCCTATGTCACCACTGCCCGGCCTGGTTTTAACTTGTAATCTGAGCTTTATGTTTGCTATGTAAGGGATGTCAACTAGTATCTATGTCAATATTTACCAAACCTCACTAAGAAACACTAGTTAGTGGGTTGGTCTCTCCATTTTAATCAATGTGCCCACACCAAAGTCACAACTTAAAGTGGAGTTTGTAAGACTTAGCTAAGGTATACTATGGTTTTTTTTCTCAAAGATACATGAGAGGTGAGTTGATAGGTGGTTCAGTGGTATAGTGGCTACCTGCATGCACAAAGCCATGGGTTCCATACCCAGTACTACCCAAACCAGGCACGCTGATCCCAGTGTGGGTAGACAGGGGATCAGGAGTTCAAGGTCACCCTTGGCTATGCCACAGTGAATTCATGCCCAGTCTGGGTGACATGAAACCCTGTCTCAAGATAATAAGGTAGGATAACAAATAAACTTGATGTAGGGAAACACAATCATAGAACTTGTGAAATGTTCCAAAGTTGTTTGGTGAGAATCAAAGTTGGAGGCGTGACAGGGTAATTCTGGCAGAGCACTTTTCCGGCACGCGAAGGCATTGGGTGACATCACTCTTGGCATGACAAGGGAGCTGTCTTCCTTACTGACAAGCTGTGCGTCTCTCCTACAGCCCAGCTCACGGCCAGCGTCGCAGAGTGGTCGGCACTCCGTGTCAGTGGAGGTCCAAGTGCAGCGGCAGCGGCAGGAGGAGCGGGAGAGCTTCCAGCAGGCCCAACGCCAGTACAGCTCACTGCCAAGGTGAGCTGCCCTCAGGGCTGCAGAAACAGCCTTCCCAGCTGGATCCAGCATCACCAAGGAGGGAAGTGCAGGCATGCCTGGCTTGGGAGGGGTGTCTCTCATCTGATGGCAGCATAGAAGAAAGCCAGCATCTACATCTGTGCATACCAAAAGCAAAACTTCCTGCCTGATATAGGAGCATACAATGGCGCTTCCGCTTGTCTGGCCGTAGGGTTCCGTGCTGAATACTGCTGTGTGCATCTAGGCTCTGTCACAGCAGGCATGAGGATTCTGAGCATGCACAACTGTGGATAGGTGGTCACAGACCTCATTCTAATTGCCCTCCCTCTCTGCTGTCACTCCTCTGGAAGTGTAGAGAGTCCCAGGGGTACGTGGCTCATTAACTGACACCCAAGCAATAGAAGCTTGTGTGCTAGGCCTGTGAGGGGAGGGACTCTGCCCCGAATGTCCTCTGTGAAAGACTAGAATTCTGTCACATGGCTGGCCACACACATACACACACTGAAATTGCCTACTATTTTTCCATCAAAGTCTTCCTCCAAGGAAATACATGGTGGAGAATAAACCTATTGAAAACCCTGCAGGTTTTCAAACTCCTCCAAACAAGTCACTTCTGTGTGATGGTTATTAGACATTTGTTTTCCCATTATTAAAGGAAACATGTAAATTTGAGAACAGTTTGAAGAAGGTAGGTGCTTATCTGTGTGTTGTCTGATCCAGGTGGACATGAACTTCCTTCACTCTCTGATAAAGGCGAGTTCCTCTAAAGCTCGCTAATGTCCACGACAGCTCAAGGAACTGGCCATGCACAGTGGTAGCCAAGAGGGGTGTGAAGCCCACCAGCATACATGGTGTCGATGTGCTAACCAGCTCATCATTGTCTTTTCACGTCTGTGAGGCTATGTACCCTAGGAACACCAACCTCATCTTTATGTTATATAGGGATTAGCCATTGAGGTCATTTAGCCTGTCTTGGGGAAGAGACATGGAGGTTTAAGTCTCCATAAAGCTCTTTGGAGATTTCTCATCTTGCCAATAAACAACTCAGAAAAACGAAGGAAATGAAATGGCTTTCTCGTGGTCAGTAAGTCCTTCCAACACACTTGTAGCCCAGATGTGCTGACGCCCTCCACTATACCTGACTGGATGCACAGCAACGCAGGGATTTCCTTCTAGAAATCCTGGATTATCGGGTGTGAAGCTCTGTGAAGCTCTGTGGTGCTTTGCGGCTTTGGAAAAGCCGCTGTGTAGCTTCACCCCGATTAAAGGTGGCATCCTTAGAGTCATGTGGAGCGCTGTCTCTGTCACACTGTCTCTTGCTACCTGCATTCTTGGTATGAAGAAGACAAGATTGGCAAGTTGTCGGTTCATAGATTTCAACTGGGTTAGAAAGTCTTCTTAGGAAATGAAGAATTTTAACAAAGTTCACATCATGAAGGGGGAACTCAGCTAAGGGAGAAAGGCAGAAGATACAGGAGTGAAGACAGCATTGAAAGAAGGCAGCTTGGAGGGCCCCTGGTGCTTAGGAAGTTTTCCTGGAGTCTCCTGGTCACATTGATTGACACAGTCACAGTACTTTCTGATGGAGTTCAGTGTGTCATCTCTTTGTGTTGAGAACACTCAACACTCTCTTTTTTACTTTGAATGTTCAATTGACCATTGTCATCACAGTTATCGGGTCTGTTCATGGTCACCCTTTACCCTTCTTTTTCTACCTCTACCTCCCTCTCTAGCTCCCTCTCTTCCCCTTTCCCAGGAAGTGCCTGCTAGGCCCAAGCTCAAGCAGACTGCCGCCCTTGGAGCTACAGCTGCTGGAGTGTTGTTCCCACGTAGAAAATGGACTTTCCCTCCTGGCTACTCACTGTGTTCACTTTAGACACGAGGAAATCAGACATCCCGAAGTGAAGAGTTACATCACTTTCAGCAGGAGGGACCAGGGGAACTTGGGCTCATACTCTCTTCTCTAGGAGAATGGCTTCCGTGCAGGCCTTGTCTGTAGGGGAAAGGTTGGCAGGAGAACCTGGCAGCCCTGATCCTGCCCTGCAGGACTGCTCACAGCTCACTGCTGCAAGCAGTGATATGGGGGAAAGTTGAGAACTCTAGCAGGAGGGCAGAGGGGTATGTGATGCCGCTTACATAAGATAGTCAGCTCCAAGGTTGGGACATATGGGATGTTGTGCAGAGGCGCTTGATCTCTGATAATTCATGTGAACAAGTTGTGTGCATCGGAGGCCAGTGTAGCTTAGTTACAGAATGGAGCATAAGATGAAACAAGCGGACCAAGCCCGCATCAGCTGGAGTGGAGAAAGAGGTTTGAATCAGGCATGTGCCAGCCTTGTGTGCAAACTTGTGTGCATGGGCAGAATGGGAGTCACACTGGGAAAACAGTAGCTGGCTGAAGTGCCAGTTTGGGGAAAGGGGACCCCAGCAAGCCCCTCACTTGGCTCTCAACCAGAGTAGCATGTTTTCTTTACTTCCTAATTGAGCTCCTTTCTGTGGAGTACCGGGTAGTTTTATGTCAAATTGATGCCCGCTACAGCCATTTTGGAAGAGGAAATTTCAATTCGGGAAAAAAGTTCTTACCTGATTGGCCTGTGGGCAAGCCTGTGGTACATGATTGACATAGGAGGGTCCAGCTCAATGGAAAGTGCCACTCCTTGCCTGGTAGCTCTGGGTGCTCTAAGAAAGCAGGCTGAGCAAGCCAAGAAAGCAAGCCAGTGAGCACTGTTCCTCTTTGCCCTCTCCATCAGCACCTGCCTCCAGGTCCCTACCCTGGTTGAGTTGCTTCCTTGACTTCCCTCAGCAGTGGAAATAGAACATGCGAGTTGCAGGCTGAGAAAAAGCTTTCATCCTCAAGTTGTTTATGGTCATGATATTTTATCACAGTAGTAGAAATCCTAACAAAAAGATTTGATACCCCAAAGAAGCCCTCTACCTGAACAGACATCTGTGCACTGGCAACCTCTTAGCATCCAGGATGCTGTAGTTCTGTCTTCCTGCACTCTCTGTCTTTCCTCTTCCTCCACCCCTGTGGTGGCTGTGTCTGTTGTGTCCCTGCTCTCCCTTACACCTCTTCCTATCACAGGCCCCTGCATCCTCATTTTCTCTCCCACCGGGGATATTGAGTCCAGATCTGTTTGTCAGTTTCAAAGCCTTGCTCTTTGTCTCTCTTCATCTCTGCCTCCCTCATCATGGTGTTGAAGTCCTTGCCTTGTGACTTCGGCTCAAGTTTCTTACCTGGTAATGGAAGAGTAGAATCAGTAGAAGGCAGTTAGTACCTAGCCAGCGTGTATAGCAAATACTCCAGTGATGTCCGGGGGGTTCATGGCAGGACCTGGCAGACCTAGGTATGACTGTGAACAAATCCAGTGGGAGCACACCGGTGGCTGCCATTGCTGTGGCCTTGGTCTGAACGACCATGGGCAGAGTGGGAAAGTGTTTGTGGAATGACCTTCATGGGCACCAGCTCTCGGATCCTAATCCACTACGTCTCTGCAAGGATCACTAACCTGGCACTTCCTACTTGTTGTCCTTGGCCCCAAAAGGTGACCATCGTCCCTCTCTACCCTAATTAGACCTAGAAGCTAATATTAGATAGTGACTTGCTCTCCAGATTCCATGAGTCATTTGAGGAGAGCCAGTCCCTTTTCTGAGCAACTTGCTTATGTGGGTCAGTGATCGATCTCTCCCCAGAACCTCATACAGTCGGGTCCTGCAGCCCATCTGAGGGACAAGGTAGTCTGGGGAACTTCCCCAGCCACACAGTGACCAAGTGACAGTTCAGAATCTGCGCCTTCTGTGTTCCAGAGCTGTTCTTAGCCTATTCCACATGCTTAGAATGTTTAGTTTCTAGTGTAGGAGGAGAGAGAGGGAGGCAGAGAGGGAGAGGGAGATGGAGAGAGTGAGACAGAGAGACACAGAGACCTGTGTGTGTGTGAGACAGACAGACAGAAAGAGTTCACTACTCCCTGTTTCAAGACTTGCTTCTTTATTCTGTTGACATTAATCTGAAGCAAACTTGAGTTTCAAAACAGTTTCTCCCCGACAGCATCTTCTCATCCATCCCTGACAAGCCTTGGTGAATCTTCAGAAATTGTGGTGCAGAAAGAACCTGTGTTTCTGGGTGACTACACCTTTCCATGTGAGGAGCATGCAGGGCCAGGGAGGAGGGAGGCTCCCAGGATTCGTGCTCACACCATCCCTCTGTCACACCTCTGGCCATATTAATTTATAACTTTCAAAGTGAAGATCATCAGTGCTTTAGGCAAAGAAGCTTCCTCCTTCCTGCCCTGCTGTGGTTCCCGTGAGGAGGGCCAGATAGGAACCACTGTTCATCTCAGCGGATCACAGAAACAGTGGTGACACTGAGCGCTGAGTCCACTTTCCATCTGCAGTGCCCAACCACAATTTCAGCCACGTGGAAAATGGGCAGATTCTACACTGGACCATATTGCTGGCATTCTAGAACTTTGAGATGCTGGTCAGTCTGTTCCCGTGGAGACATGGTAGCTTCCCAGTCTCCTCACCCATGTGCAGTGTGGGGTGTGCTGATGCCAGAGGCTGTGCCTACTGCCAGCAGATGATTTTCTGTTGACAAATGGCACAATAATGCATTTTCTTTAGTATGACTGTCATCTCTCCTCCTGCTTTCATTTTCAGGAGGGAGAATAGGGCATGTCTTCCTTCCTGGCACAATATTGTTAAGCTTTATCAAAGGTAATCTTATTACAAATTCATAGAAGTATCCAGAGCCTTAATAGTAAATTAAAGATGTTTTAGAATCATGCTTTCTGAAAACCACAGCAAGCTCCTTGAAAACACATTAGGATGTGAGATTTCTGTGTGGCTTGAGTTTGTCTCCCTATCCTGGGGTGACAGGAAATGAGTTCTCTAACCTGAGTTGTGGAAAAATAGTTTCCAGACAGGAAGGTGTACAACCCTGGCCTGTGTCAGCTACTGACACTAGGCCTTCAGAGAGCTAAGCTGAAGGTTGTTGGACTTCCTATTGCCTTGTTTGCTTTGTCACCCTGGCAAGTCTTGAACTTGCAACTTAGCCAAGAATGACCTTGAACTCCTGATCCTCCTGCCTCTACTTCCCTAATGCTGGTATGGCTCACAGCACAGCACCCGGTTTGTGTGGTGCTGGCGATGGAACCCGGGCCTGCATGCTCGGCCTGTGCTCCAGCAGCGGAGCCTGGCCCAGCCTCGGCCTGCTGCACTCTGAGTTTTGTCTGCTCAGACTGTCACAGGGGCTGCTTCCTTATAGCAGAGTGACATCTCGGCCTCTGGAAGGCGCAAATGAGCCACACATACCAATTTCTGACCTGGCCGTGGCTAGGTAGAGTGCTGGTTGGGTTGTTTGGAGCTGAACAGTAGCAGGTGAGCACAGTTTTGGCAAAGCTACTGCCCCGTGTCTGCGCCCATGCCACAGGGGTTCCCCCGAGCAGAGCAGAGGGCGCCTGGTGCTAGGAGCGGCGCCCGCCCGGCAGTGGCTGCTGAGTGTGCTTCTGCCTTTTGCTCTGTCAGCATTGGTCTCTTAGCCAAAACTAGGGACTTGCTGAGGACCATCAAGGTTATTTTTGTTGTATTGTTTTGCTTGGGAGGGTATTTATAGTGTGGCTGTATGTACAGAGTGTGTGTGTGTGTGTGTGTGTCTGTGTGTGTCTGTGTGTGTGTGTGTCTCTGTGTGTCTGTGTGTGTCTCTGTGTATGTCTGTGTGTGTGTGTGTGTGTGTCTGTGTGTGTCTGTGTGTGTGTGTGTCTGTGTGTGTCTGTGTGTGTCTGTGTGTGTGTCTGTGTGTGTGCGAGAGAGCGAGTGTGCACACATGAAACCAGAGCACACCCTCGGCTATCATTCCTCAGGAACTGTCTTGCCTTTTTGAGACAGGGTTTCTCCCTGGGCCGAGCCCACCAGTTAGGCTAGGCCGGCCGGCCAGCAAGCCTCTTGGACCTTCTTGTATCTCCGCCCTACTGCTGGAATTACACATGTGTGCTCTCTCACCCGGGTTTTTACATGTTCACTGTGGATTGAACATAGATCTTCAGGCTTGGGCCACATACGGCTTTAGCAGCTGAGCTGTTGGTGTCTTCCCAGGATGTGATAGTCAATTTTGAGATCTCCAGCCCCCGCCGTGGTACCTGGTGAGCGGTCAGGTCGTGATGATATTTGCTAAAGTCTGCACATTCCTATCTCTCTCATCCCTGACTGACTTCTTTGCTTTATTGCTAGACAAAGCAGGAAGAATGCCAGCTCCGTATCACAGGATTCCTGGGAACAGAACTATGCGCCTGGCGAAGGCTTCCAGAGTGCCAAGGAGAACCCCAGGTACTCCAGCTACCAGGGCTCAAGGAACGGCTATCTAGGTGGGCATGGCTTCAATGCCAGGGTCATGCTGGAGACGCAGGAGCTTCTCCGCCAGGAGCAGAGGCGGAAGGAGCAGCAGCTGAAGAAGCAGCCCCCGGCCGACGGAGTCCGGGGCCCCTTCCGGCAAGATGTGCCTCCATCGCCGTCCCAGGTGGCCAGGCTGAACAGACTGCAGACCCCCGAGAAGGGGCGGCCCTTCTACTCCTGAGCGCAAAGGAGGGTGGCAGCGCTTTGTGTCATGCAATAAAGGACGTTTTCCGGTAAAGACCGAGTTCCGGAGTTTTCAGAACCTTCGGTGGTACTACAGAACACCTCTGTCGCTGGTATCAGTGCCTTTCAGCAGCAGGAGCAAAGAAACGGAAGGCCTTAATGTCTTTGCCACTGCGTCTCAGTGTCTATCTCGTGGAAGGGCATCCCCACCCCCCCACCCCCAATCCCAAGTGGAAGGCCTCACCCACCAGCTTCTCTGCAGTACCGGAGACTTCAGCTCTGTGCTTAAGATGCCTGTGGATGTCACAGCTTCATCTTAGAGTGACCCGAGGCCGGTGTTGCGGACTCCTTTCCCCCTGGATTCTCAGCTCGAGCGGTAGCTCAGCCTGAGAGTACAGCTTGCCCCAGGAAGGGCAGTGTGCACCGGGAAGGAGGGCTTTCCAGGACTCTGCCACAGGGGTGCCCCCTGTACTCGGACTTAGTCTGGGCTTCCCGTTCGTTCCTCAGTTCCTTGGAGCATGAAGGCTCTGGGGTGGTAGTGAAGAAGCTGAGCCATACGCCAGTGCCGTTTGGTTATTGGGGGGAGAGGGTGTGTTTCCAACTGCCTTATAACCCTGCTACCCACACCACAGTGATTCTAGTCTGCGTTTATAAATACACATGTTCAGTCATGTTCGTGACACGTGGGAACCAGGGACACGGGGGCGGCCTGCATGTGTGCACTCGAGGAGCTAAGGCGAGGCCATCCTGTAGTTATTTCACTTCATTTGCATTGTTACAGGCACAGAGTGGGACGAGGAAAAAACCAGTCCTGTTGGATTCTGAAAATTAATCTCAGTACAGTTTTTGAGGTTGGAGTCAGTATTGCCTCCCGTACCCCCACACTGTGCCCCTTCCTGGCGGGGCCTCATTACTAAGTAATTCTGCCGTGAAACATAAAGACAAATAAAAGCAGAGCCGTCCCATTGCGAACATTGTGACATCCCAGAAGAGTACTGGGGGTCACACTTTTGTGCATGGCTGTGTCACAAGGCCCTCTCCCGCTGTTTGCCTGTCGGGCTGAACATCCTGTATTGTAAACCAAGGCTGGGTGGCTAAAGTGCCTGCGAATCTCGATGTGAAAAAAAAAAAAAAATCTTGAGAAAAACACTCAGAGACCCATGTATTAACAAAGAGAAAAAAAAAAAGAAAGAAAGAAGACATGTATTGAAATGCCTATTTTTTTTTACTGGCACATTGTATTTTGTGTAGACTCGTTTTTAGAAAAGACCGCAAAGTGTCCACAGGCCTGTGTCTCTGCCTACATGGCTTTACCTGTTTTTGCCTTGCTTCAGTGGTTAAGTGGTGTTTCCAGTGTAAGTACGTGGTGACCTTGGACGGCTCACTCACAGCCGTCCTGAGCTGTGAGCGACCGCTGTCCCTGTACATACAAGACTTTAATAAAAGGCACATTTCTTCCTGTTCTGTGAGCATCTCCAGCGTTCCTGTTGAACCTCTCCTAACTGTTTTTTAAAGTATACTAACAGATGTCTTTATTTTTTTCATATTTACCAAAAGTGAAAGTTTCTTCCTATCTATGAAAACACCGATGGAGGGAGGGAGAGAGATTCTGACCACCCAGGAGAGGGAAGGGGGCATGGGAAAGACTAGAACCCCATTTTTTTCTTATTTAAATTTTTGTGTTTTTTTTTATTCAGTTAATATTAATTACATAATTTCCTCCTCCTTCCTACAGTCCCTCCCATCCCCCACTCCCTTTCAAGTTTATGGCCTCTTATTCTTTATTATTGTCACATGTATTCATATATATGCAAATATGTGTATAAATGGGACCCTTTATTAAGGAGGATTGTGGGAGACCCGGAGAGCCCAAAGGAGCCATATGGGCTGAGATCTTAAATGAGGCCGTCACACAGGAGACCGTGCACATCCTTGCTGCACTCGGTGGTCTTAGCCGAAGACTCTCACTGAGTCAAGACAGACAATGAAAGGTGTTAATGACCAACCCGTGGACAGTAACCAGCACCCCCTCTTGTGGGCTGTGACTGAGACGCCTCTATGGACAGTCTGTGTGTGTGTGTGTGTGTGTGCGCGCGCGCGCCCGCGCAAGCGCGCCCACCCAGGGCATCTGAACAGGACTTCAGGTGAGTGAAGCAGGAGGAGGCATTGCTGCCCCAGTAAGCTTCCAGTCAGCTCCCATTTCTGCAGTGTCACTTGACAACACATCTGTCTACACTGGAGCGGCACAGACACGGTAGAGAGAGCCTGTGGCTCCACGCATTTTCTGTGCTTCTGCTTCACCCTGCAGGTCTGCAGAACTCAGACACACACCCACCACACATACACACACACACAAAAGCCACTGTAACCAGGCATATGTTCATAGTCACTAAAGCTGTGAGGGCCACCCAGGGGGTGACAGGAGTCCCTCCTTTGGAAAGCATAGTGAACCAGAAAAAAAATATCTGTCGAACACTCTGTCTTTCTGTTTTTTTTTTTTTTTTTTATCTCCTTTTATTTTTTTAAAAAAAGATTGCTCCAGTGATGACACACAAAGTAAGGAGATAATCTTCTTTTCTTACCTCAGAGACGGGATAGCATCTTAATAAGGCAGCTAATAAGAGTGTTCACAGGTCAGAGAGTGCGGGTATGGGAGGGGCAGCTTTAATGGAAAATCACCTCAGCTCTGAGTAATGACTAGATCAAAAGCATGCTGGATTAAAGTGACTTGAAAAAGCTGTATAATTCTGAGCATAAGCTTTCTTTCTCTCTTTTTAAAAGCAAGGGGCTGATAGCCGGCCTCGAAGTTCCTGGATGAAATGTGAGGCTGGCGTTGCCCTGTCCAGAGGCCACCATTTCCCATTTGATGGGTTCCTATCTCTAGTCGCCTTCCTGTCATGCATAGGAACACGTATGTGTGTGCAAAGACTGAGCTCTAGAAGGTGCATTTTTATTTTCTGATTTACTTTTGTGGCAAGCTGTACCCACAGCTTGGTGCTCTGGGGCAGGGACACGTGATCGGGGAGGGCACTGCAGGAGCAAAGCCACTGCCCCACGGAGAGCTGGGAAGCCTTCTCTTCCAGCTGCGCTTCGGCTCCTAGGATCAATTAAACGCGTGAAAAACACCCTTTCTCTGAATGGCTCAGTGTGGTGCTGACTCATGTCACACCATAGCTGGCTTCCAAGAGCCTTTTACAGTTTGGTCCCAGTGGAGCTGTGGCTGTCTCCTCAAGAGCCGTTCGTTCTCCATGGCGTCACTGGCCTCCTGGAGCAGTGCTGAGGCTTGCTGCAAGGCAAGGGTTTTATGAGATAAATATTTTAAGTACAGCTTTGAAGGCTTTGCTGTTTAAACAGTCTAGCATGGCCCAGGGCCCAGTGGATGGCTGACTTACTGTAAGGGCAGTCCCTTGCAGCCTGCAAGTGACAAGACGATGAACGACAGGAATATCTGTATTGGCCCTGGCCTTGGCTAATGGCCTGGTTTTAGGGTTTGGCTCATGTGGGGCTTATATCAAGCCTTCATTGTCACCAACAGCAACACACTTTCCTTAATTGTTCAATGCAGATCCTAACTTTGATTCACCACTGTGACACAAAGGTTTTATCAAAACGGCAGATCTTTTTTTTATTAGTTACACTTTATTCATTTTGTATCCCCCATAAACCCCATCCTCCCCCACTCCTAATCCCACCTTCCCTCTCCCTTCCTCATGCATGCCCCTCCCCAAGTCCACTGATAGGGGAGGTCCTCCTCGCCTTCCTTCTGATCTTAGTCTATCAGATCTCATCAAGAGTGGCTGCTTTGTCATCTTCTGTGGGCCTGGTAAGGCTGCTCTCCCCTCAGGGGGAGGTGATCAAAGAGCAGGCCAATCAGATTATGTCAGAGGCAGTCCCTCTTCCCATTATTATGGAACCCACTTGGACACCGAGCTGCGGTGGGCTACATCTGTGCAGAGGTTCTAGGTTATCTCCATGAATGATACTTGGTTGGAGTATGGGTCTCTGGGAAGACCCCTGTGTTCAAATTTTCTGGTTCTGTTGCTCTCCTTGTGGAGTTCCTGTCCTCTCCAGATCTTACTATTTCCCACTTCTTTCATAAGATTCCATGCACTCTGCCCAACAGTTGGCCATAAGTCTCAGTGTCTGCTTTGATAGTCTGCATAAACTGGAAGATCTTGTCTCAGTCGTGGGGATAGCCCCACCTACTAAGACTGGAGGATCACGGTTTGAAGGCCTGCCTGGGCTTCTGTGAGCTTGTTGCTAAATAAAGATAACACGGAATTAGAAACACATTAGAAACAATGCATGCGAATTCCTGGGTTCTGCCTCTAGCACACTGAGCTGGGAAAACATTTTTTCAAATAACTTTATGTCCTTATTTAGTGGTAACAGGGCTTTGCATTGACTAGTAAACTAAGCATGACAGAGAGTTCTAAAGTTAGAACGTCTTCACTGGGCTGGGAGCACGGCGTCTGGTAGAAGACCCACCTGGCTTAGGAAAGACCGTCCCTGGGCTCGACCCCCAGTGCATCAAAGTTTTAGAAAGTTAGAGTGACCCTCACGCCATCCATGTATACTTGAAAGTTGCGTATGTCTATAGTACACACACATACACACAGACATGCACATGCAACAGCCTCTTCATATGATGTGCCATTGTTAGCCTACAGGCCACGCCTCTCAGGGGCCTGGCAACGGCTGACGTCAGCGCCTGCTGCATCCAAAAGGACCACGGGCCACCCCTGCCCTCTCCATCAGTTCCCAACACTGTCTCCCTCCCTCTCTGTCCTCATGGCTCTGCTCCCATCTGTCTGCCTGTTCACTCGTCTGTCTCCACCCCTTCTCCAGGTCCACATTCCTTTCCCTTCCCCAGTAAACCTCCTTATACCAGATCTGCATGGCGTGTTTTCTCAGGGGCACACCTTGGCATGGGCCTGCCATGGTGCCCCCTCACTGTGTTTTACATCCTAACACATTTCCAGTCAGTTTGTGCCTTACTGGAAATTTTGAGAAGCCAATCTGGAGTCACCACATGTTGTGGGGAAATCAGGATTCCCACTTGCGGTTCTAGTCTCATTAATAAAATAACTCAAGAACAGACTCAGAAGAAAGCTCAAGGACAATCTTCTTTGGGTTTAAAGGAAAAACCCCAAAGAAGGTGAGCTATGTGCCTCAGCAGCTACTTGGAGTAGAGGAAGAGAAATCCAGGCTGTTTGAATTAGGCCAGTGTGAGGGTCAGCTGCATGACAAAGTCCCCCCCACACACACACACTTGGCAAAAAAGGGGGGAGGGAAACATCAGAGAAAGTACTAGAGACAGCATGTTTAAAGACAGAATGGAAAAGTAACAATTCGGAAGTAGGAAGACTTACAAAGTTGTATGTCTATGGGCCTGTAAGCCACTTCCCTGAGGATGGAGATTCTGGGAAGGAAAATGTCGAATTACAGAGATCATTATTCCCCCTATCCATTCAGCATGAATTAAAGCGGCACTTTTCCTGAAGAGTGGTCCTTCAGTCATTGACTGAGCTGCCCAATCACCAGTCCAGATCCTCTGGACCTGAAGGAAATGGTTTTCCTTGTGTGGGCCCGCACTGCTGCTATGAGGTGTTGAGCTCCAACAGGCCTGCATGTGGGTTTGCAGGCTCTGCTCTAGTCCCGTTTCAGTGACTGTCGGCTCACGACGAGGCTCTACTGTGTCAGTGCTCAAGACACAGACCAGAAAGTATTAATTCCTTTTCAAAGACACAGCTCTCATCACAAAGAAAATAAGAGACAACTTATTCTAGAGGCAAACACGAATGACTGTGGCCAGGAAACAGAGATTAGATTACCCCAAATACCGTTTGTTCCAATGTGGTAACAAGGAGAATCATTAATCAACATACTTTCCAAAAGCAGTTTGGTGGAAACAGCTGGGCGGGCTGTAGCAAAGTGGGGAAGTCTCAGCTATTGGCCTCAGATGTTAGCTGGCAGCGTTCTCGGCCCTGAAGCCGGTGGGAGCAAAGAGCCTGTTCATGTATCTACCTCCCCTGAGCATGTTGGGTCTCACACCGGTGGGCAATAAGGGCTATTCACGGGCTGAGCTAGCCCAAGGCAAGCTGGCTCTGAACCTGCCACATAGCAACCTCTCGGCGGTCACTGAAGTTCTGACATGTCAATCACCGCTGTGGAACGTTCAGCATAGATGTGGCTTTTTTTTTTTTTTTTCTGGGAACTTCAGTGAGCTTCCAAGTCAGGCTATTAATGAGAAAATGAAGGCTCGTGGGAGACTAAAAACAGCAAGCATGTTTTGGAAAGTGCATGGCCACAGGCCTAAGGAAGCAGAATGTGGCCACGCACAGGGCAGACAGCAAAAGCCAATCCCGGCAGATGCAGAAACCCTGGCCCATCGAGAACACAAGATGTGCTGGGAGACTGTGAAGCCATGCAGCTCATGCTTATCATTGGTACTTGCAGCTCAA